TCACTGATCGACATACAATCAACCTTCAGCAATGGAAAAGCGGTCGATTCAAGGGATGCTAAACAGCACAGTTAAGTGAGAAGGTACGACGTTGATGGTGGGATTCAAGTTTACTACCTATGAGGTAACGTGTTGTTGACCAACACTTTTGACTATGGCAGCCAAGAGAAATCGCAGCTATGTGAACCACATGGCACGGTTCAGTCCAGCTTTCGTTATTGTGTATTGTTTTCTCCTTACTCCTTCTGGTCACGTTCTACATCTGTGTGGAGTTCATCACTGTAAAATGACACTAATGAGATGAAGGTCCGAGACTGCTTCTGACAGTCAATAAGAATGAAGGAATCAGAACCAATCAAATCGATGGTGAAGCGATCACTAACATCAAGCCAATGAAATTTTCAACTCCATCTGAATCACTGAGTTTGGTCGAATGAGCTTCCGTTATTCATACAACATACTCATTCTGGTTTCATTAAGTGAAATGACCACAGAGTGAATGTGGTTGTTAGAGTACGAAAAATATAGCCGCCTATCATCTACCATGGTTAATCTGACTTGTGTAACTTTTTCCCCCATTTGCCCGTTGCTTCTCTCAGCGGATATTTATTTTAATCATTGGCTTCGACCTCTTCAGAAATTCTTTCATTGCTGGATATTAGGTATCTGATGCTCACCTGAGCTGCCCGTCTGCTTCTGCTACTGTACTGAAATGAGCCCTATTGAACCCAGACGTCTAGCGTAAAATTATCCCATTTCTGAGACGTCGTGATATGATCTTACAAAAAGAAAACAATTCTACTCGAAAACTTAGGTATGTTTTACAAAATGCTGTTTAGGTACGTCAAAAATAAAAACAATGAAACATAAGAAACAGAAAACAAGGAACTTCTGGGGAATATTTATGTATCTTATAATTGACTTTATTTTATTTAAGAACAAATTGATGTACCCCATCATATTCCAGCACTGCATGGAAAAGAAGACTTCAAACCACAGACCAAAACATGGGCAGTATGTTATAACACGGCGTTACATTACGCGTCACCTATTAGGCCGCAGTGTATGCGTAAGACCAGCAAAATCGCTCCGGATAATAAGCAGATTGTATAAACATCGCACACTTAAATCGGTTGAAGTTTGCTATATTTGAATGACATAGGTTGGTCGGTGATAAAAAGTTGGAAATTTGGCTGCTCAACTAGGAAATCCACCGGTCAAGAAGCAATACGCCCAGGTCGGAACCTTTTGCCGTTGTTTACGCGTGACCGAGCACAATTTGGCCTGGGCCCAGAAAACAAAGAAAAGTCATTTTAAATCTGTCACCATTTGAGTGAAACGAGCGAGGAAACTGAATTCCAATTCAGCGTATAATATATAATCAAAATGGAACATTTCGCTACGATGAGAGACGCTCTCAAGGATACCGTATAATGGAAATAATACAAGTATCTTGAATACACAGAGACCTCAATCACAACTGTGTAAAACAAGCGGAATGGCTAATCAATCTGTCATCACCTTGGCGACTAACGTGTTTGGTATGTTACCATACCTACCTGGCTTCTTCCCATGCAAGATCTTGATGTGTCTGATCGTAGATCGTACAGAATTCGCTAGGCACAGATACAGATCTGGCGAAATGTTTTGGGATGCATTGCTCAACCTTTGGTTTAGAAGTTCTCAGTAAAATCTATTTCGGACGAACGGTCCTTCGATAAACACTATGCATGTCGCTTTTCTACTTTTCCTCTGACTCATATTGCTTGTTTTTCTTTGTTTTCTTATTTTACTTCCTTTTGTTGAATATACAAAGATACAATTTTTAGGGGCGGGATAAGCGACCAATCAAAGGGATGCCATTCCAAACACCTAGTGGGGAACGTCAAACGGTGGTGGTGGGATTCGAACACATCCACGGGGTGATAGTTTGGTGACGTTACCATCTGGCGCAGTTGTTGCAATTCGTCTTTCTAACTGTGGTCAGCCCTGTGAGTTCGCTACTTACGCACGCCACGATAATTTTGTGTTGTTTTTGATAGTGTCTGATGGATTTTCTTTCTTTCCACTGGGGTCATTTTATTGGATCACAAGAAGAACGGATCGGGAAACGCAACGTGACAAAATGTTTGTACCCTCACTCAAGATGTTTGAATTACCTCCGGTCCCATATGCACGATCCTCACCATTGTACAATGTAAAGCTTACAAACGAAATTTCATTGAATTATATCTTGTATTGTAACAAAATATCTAGGAACAACCATTTTCAACACGAAAAAGGTTTTATTCACTCCACCTGTGCATGGCATTAGTGAATGATTTGATTGTCCATGTACAGAGCACAAATCGAAAAGCTTAGAAACACTGTACTGGTGATGACTCGCAATCACGTCGAGACACTAATCAATATTAATAAACAATACATTCATTTTTAGTTTATTGAGTAAACAAATTTACTGTCAACTTTCACGGAGGAGCCGTGGTCATTCAAAGGTTACCTGGGGAATTACAAAAACGAAAAAATATACCGCGTTGGCGGGATTCTAACTCAGGAGGTGCAGGTTGTTATTGTGATGACCTGAAGCACTGGAGCATCATAGCTTTTCTTCTCATGGTTTTATTCACTCTGTACATGTTGAACTACATCATCCCATACTTGTCGTAATCATCACAATCGTTTATGTTCTTTTAGTCAGCATACGTTCTCTTTCAGACTCGTTGAAGGCTAGTTTACGTAATTACTAGTGCAATTTAAAATCATAAGGACTTCCCATTTCCATCATCATTCAATATAAAAGTTTGCTGCTTCAGATGAAATGTAATTTCTATTTTTTAGCCGAAGTTCTATTATCGTCTACCAGCCCCCTTTTCACATGATGTGTATTTTCTTTGCTATTTTTCGTCAACGTTTCCAGCCCACACCGAGACTCGGCCCATAGTCGGCAGTCTAGTGTATATCCGTTCAGGGGGGACATCCTGCTACACACTGAAAACCCAAGCATACTGCACTACCCCGAACAGATGCAAATACGAATAAGGTGCGCGGTTGATGACCGGGGTTAGCTAACTCGTCTATTTATACATCTCAATGCAGCAGCCCAGTATACGTGGATCAGGTTTGATTGCCTGATTGCCAATATGAAAATGATCAAATTTACCAGATGTTAACAGAAATTCGAAGGCTCATTTCGAAAAGCACTGTCCGTGTGAATGGCTGTGAGATGGAGTTGTAGAAAATGTTTAGTTTTGATTTGCTGCCCTGAAAGTTCAATTGCTCTGAACAAATAGGGTTTCATTACGGGAGAAAGGGAGCACGTAACTAAAGTACAGCGGCCATTATTTATTGTTCCCTGCTTGATGGGTTGTTGGCTAGTATTACGTAACCATTGTTCCATCGTTGTCCTCATTATGGGACAAAACAAACCCATGAGTCACGTAGGAGGCCAAGCATTAAGGTTGTGTCTATCATTTCATATAGAGCGTTTCCCATGGTGATTTGCTGAACGTTAGGATACTTGTTAAGTCTGGCTGTGGTTGGTCTGTCTCTTACTCTCGCACAGACACACACGTTCTTTCTCTTTTTCTGTCGCCGAATGTTTTACTCCACGCAAGGGGACAATCAAAGTCATCCGGCGCTATGTGTTCACTCATTCCTTTAGTTTGTTAGTCGTTGCATTGGAACTGTGTCCATAACTTAAGCACTATCATTTGTTACGCTTTCAATTCACAGTTCGTGTTCTGCAGTACCTACGGCCATCGATAGTGTCCATGACCGCTTGCGAGTGAATTTTCCCCACTTCTCTGGAGCTGCTTACAAATAAACTAGCTTCATAATCTGCACTAAAATGATTCTATCAACTAGTCACTCATTCTGAGAGCGCGTTTTACTAAATAAAATAAATAAACATAAATAAAAACAATTTGTTTTTAACTTTCTTCTTTGTTTATTGCCTTTGGAAATGTAGAGTAAACTTTCAGGAAAGAGGCTGCGGCCATACAAAGCTGCCTTGGGAAAAACAGATAATAGGAAGATCGAACTCATGAGTGCCATGTAGTTATTTCGACGACCTTGCCACTCAACCAAACAATCTTGAAGATTTATCGGCAGCCAGCTAACTGTGAGAAAATGTAAAACTCGTATTACAGACCTATTTTTTAGATGCCTATGAAGTATTTTTTAGGACAATTCGTACAAGGACGATGGTCGTATCGAGCATCGCATCGTAGATATGTACATTTCATTTGATTGGCTTCTGCGAAACGTCATCGCTTGGAAAGCGGCGGGACAATATACTATAACCAATTTACCCAGTTGAAGTCCTGAAGCTAGTTTCTTCAGGTTAAATTTGTACTCTTACTTGGAAGATAGAGGGGGCGGAGGTATAACTTTGAACAGCCATTTCGCGGGCTGGTTTCATCATGCCACTTTGTGTCTGCTTTAAACGATGAACGACTAACTCCTTCGTGAAGTGAATACAGTTACATGGATGGCTTTGATGATGTTCGTTCATGTATATCGATCCAAGGTTAGGCTAAAGCAAATCGCACTGCAGAAGTAAGGTAAGATGCCCGCACACGTTTATCTGGGCACGTACATGGGACAGGCTAACCAAAACACGCAGGAAATCTAATTGGCATATCCAGTCACATGGACAACAGGTGATGAGATTAGACAATCGGAAAAATGATTGCAGTGTTACAGAGCACGCATATTTTCACATGAGATGTGCGCACAAAAGTGGAACGTCGCGGGCAGGATTCGATCCTCCACAAGGAAACCACATTGGATTTCTAGTGTAACATCTTAATCACGCGGTCACCACGACCTACACAATAACTACTGCAATCACAATGCACACGAAAACAAACATTGTGCAGGAAAAATCATCCCAACCAACATACTACCACGGTCAAACAGACCCATCCCAAACACATAGCACTCCCACCGCAGATGAACAAAATCCTCAGCCACCAGTATGAATAAATTGAGCTCGCTTTCTATTCATCATCATCATCATCATGATCGTGATCATCGTGGTCATCTTGATCATCGTGATCATGCACACGACCACGAAGACAGAGTGAACTGAGGGGAGTGGAGAACACACGGATCAAATCCATGGGCATTGTATTGCACATGGACATGCGGATCAGTATTATGCTTCCAGTGACTGCTATATGCGAATCCCGATGACCGGGTTTGCGCGAACTACACACAAACAGTTTGCCATTCGTTTCTTTACCTCCTATCTCGCTCGCTATCGGCTCCTGTGCTTCGTTCGGATCAACCAATCGTGCATAACCACTTCTGCCGGATGTGATTCATGGGACAGAAGGATTGTGCAAGCTTCCACCACACGCTCCACATCCATGTGACAGAAAGACGAACACTTGTTTCTTTCTCAGCTCGGCACTGGTGTCCGGATCAGACCGCTTACGATGTACGCCATAACACTGACTGCATGATGTGAGCAAGTTATCGGTCAGTGCAGCAAATACTGGAATGGAAGCCCTGTGTGTGTGTTGTTTCTGTGTCAGTGTCAGTGTCTGTGTCAGCGTCTGTGTCAGTCTACTCCTCTATCTGTCCGCGGTTGAGTGATTGTTCCGTGTGCTCCAGTTGAATGTGATGCCGCTTGTGCGAACTGTGCGATCAGCAAATCATGCCTGGCTAGACCTGCTCAACCTCGATCAATCCACCATCGGTCTCGGTTTGTGCACTGTTGAAGCAGTCGCATTGAAAACGATTACTGTTCTGGGCATGCGCGTCAGTGCGATGCAAGTGACTGACTGACAATTGCGATGCGCCACGGGCAGACACAGTCACATTGGGAACAGGTGCTCAAGTGTGCAATGTCAGACGATCAGAATGTGAATTTTGAGATGAGAGAGAGCATGCTTTCGTTCACATGAGACGTGGAGGGTCGCTGGCAGGATTCGATCCTCCACAAGGAAACCCCATTGGATTTCTAGTGCAACATCTTAATCACGCGGTCACCACGACCCACACAATAACTACTGCAATCACAATGCACACGAAAACAAACATTGTACAGGAAAAATCATCCCAACCAACATACCAACATACCATCAATAAAATCTGAAATATACTACCCAAACACATTACACTGCCTCCGCATACAAACCACAATACTTTCTATCGATACTAACCATCGGTATGAATATACATAGCTGGCTTCCGATCGATCATAATGAACACGAGTGCTAAGATAGAGAGTAGTAAGAGAAGACAAAGGAAGTTTGGACCTAAGTTAGTGAGTGAGTTATTGAGCAAACCGGGAGACGAACAGGAGGATGATAATCATGGTCACTTCACGCTCGTCACACCGATGACCACAATACAAATTGTGCTGCACACGAATATGCTGATCCATACTACGCTTCAAGTGATTGATGTATGTGAATACCCATGGTTCGGTGAGCACAAACTGCACATAAACTGCTTGTGATTCCATTGTCACATTTTTCGTTTTCTATCTGTATCTCTCACGGTGCTTCGCCTCAAAAACACTTTTTCCGGGTGTGGTGGGAGGGCACCCATTCAAGCGATAGGCTTGTTTTTTATGAGATCTGCTCTGAGGTGCTGGAGATTAGGCTCACGTCGGATGCTTTAGTATTCATTACAGCTGATGAGGAAGTTGAAAATTAGCGTGGAAACGATTCCTTCAGTATGTTTGTGCGTTTCATTTAGAGAGAGAAAGGGCAATGCCCATTGTGTAAGCTGTGTTTTTATCAGCGATAACTTTCGTTCTAAAGATTAAGTGATCTTTGTTTTGCCATCAGTTAAAATATGAAAGATTTTTTAGTGACCCACATTAGGGTTTCAAAATTTGCACATGTCAAAAGAAAAGAACGTTAATCTTTCCTAGGATTCAACATGAGAGTATATTTATGGCAAACTTATAAGATCATAAAATCAAATCATATTTACACTTTTGTGGATTTATTTGTCATCAAATCGCATTGTTATCACGTTCAAGGACACCAAATGCTATCCTACACGAGCACGTTCGTGAAATCGTTATGTATTATCGCGCGAGCTGCGCCTTTTGTGAAATATTCCAACAATGTGAGAAATCAATTCAAGCGGATGATCAAAACACAAAACGGCAGAAGGAAAAAGCATCGAGCAGGTTGGCAAGTCGCTCTCAGACAGTGCAGCACCAGCCAAATGCAAATTCCTCTCATTTTAACAGGCAGTGTTCGTTCTCTGTTAGGAAAAGTCGAGGAGGTAGTAGACCAGTGAGGCGAAGAATTATTTTCGATTACTCATTCTCAAGCTTATTAATATATGATCACAAGGTTGCAACAAAAGTCATGACAATCAAAAGCCATTCGTAGTTCAATTGTGGAACATCTTATCAACACGGGGCATACGGTAGATGTTGAAAGGTCATTTAAGGTCATTTACAGAACCCCGATTAATCTGACCAAACAATTGTGGCAGATTATGCTTTGCACAGCAGAGGCGGTAGCGATTCGCATCCACCACCCCGAACTGTGCAAACAAAAGTGGATCGTTCACGTATTGAGTATGCCATGGACCGACAACATGACGTAATTGACCTTTGTTCAGAAAATCACACGATGACTGAATGACCGTGTTGCGCAATCTGCTTAGACAAGTGATTACAACCCTGTAACCCCCCCCACCCCGGTTTATTTTGTAAATCATGACTTTTGTTGTCACCTTGTGATCATATATTATTTATTAAAGCTTGAGAATGAGTAATCGAAAAGAATTCTCCTCTTCGTTGGTCTTTTCAATGATCTATGGGGATATTTCATGAAAGAGGTAGTAGACATCACACGGAAAAAGGAGAACAAAAACCTGGGATTTTTATGCTCGAGGAATCGGGGCTTCATGAAGAAATCCTTAGTGAACTTGTACAAGTGGATGGATATAAATTGTATCGGATTGACAGTCCGGCGAGTTTCCGTGAACAAGGTGGAGGTGTTGCAAGTTACGTCAGCAAAAACTGAATTAAATCAACTGCTGTCATCTACGAATACTCAACGGATAAAATCGGTTGCTCTGTCATCGAATGTAAGCCCCGTTTTTTGAATGGGTTTCTGTGGTGATCGTGCAACGAATACTCACGCACCGCGGTACCGCTTCCGGCTA